TTTTCCGTGTCGATATTAACAAGGCATTTTTTTTAACAAGTCCATTTATGGGTTCGTCCTGGTCCATAATGGGGCGGCCGTGTGATGAGAGACGAGGCCCGACATACCTGGACGGACTACCCCCTGAAAAATTTCTGGGCTTTTTCCCAGGAATTTTAATTCGTAAGAAGTCGATCCTGGGTTCCCAGAGCGCTAGGCTGCTACTTTAACCGCTTGGCCATTATACGAGTATAAAGTTCTTTATAGATTTGAGCGTTGTACAAGTACAATATTTCTTGTTACTATTTTATAATTTGTATTCTATTAATGGCATTTAATTAGATAATAATAGAATACAAAGTATAAAATATCAATATGGGATTAAAACAAAATATTAAGTCAAAATTTTTAAGGATTATATAGAATTTTACTTTTTTTTCCTAAAATAAACTCACAGATTAATATAAACAAGTAAATATATACTTACATGCCTCAGCTTTGCAGCTTCACATGTAAATCCAATCTTTTATATCTGAAATTATATAACACATCCAGTAAAGTGTCTTTCTTGCTTGTTTACTTATCTTTATTGTTACTTATCGCATTTCATATAAATCTTAGTGTGTGGATGGCCTTTGATATTGTCTGTTGACATAAAGTAGAAATTTCTGAATTACTTTATCCATTAATTCTGCACGGCAAAACTACTACTACTTTGACTAACGGCCTTGACCCTTCTCCAGTTTATGCTAAAATATCAGACAGATTAATTGGCATAGTTTTTATAGGCTAAAATATATTTCACGCGCTAACGGGATAGGAGATTACTCTAACCCCACATGGCAACCATACTGTTTTGATTTGCATCCAAGTCCGTTTAACTCGCGAATCTTCTCCGCTTCATCTATAGGCACGGCCCTGTTTGTAATATGAGAAGTAATCAAAGTAATGAAAGAAAACGAGTTGAGTTAAAACCGATTTATTGAAATTAAAAATTTTAAAGATTCGAAATCAGAAGAAGAAAAAATTTAGTAGAAAAATTATTATTATTAAGTATTAAATATTGATGACGGGAAATTATACGATTACGAAAAAAGAAATTCTCGTTAGAATTTCCTGTTAACTGTTTAATGTCAGCGTAACGAAAAATTACTAATATAAAATTGTTAAAGTTAATCTAATGGAAAATTGTTAATAAAATTCAAACTTTACAAGTTTTATATTAGTTACCTTCTTAATACGTAATGAATCGATTATAGGCTTTCTTTTACCGTGTTATCTACGGCGATTTTTCGCGTGTAAATTGACAGATACTGTATTTATTCTCCTGGTAGATTCATGTACCAGATTGATTCACTTGTCTGTTCAGTGATCCCATCATCAATTATTATATGAAAGGGATAGAGAAAGTTTTCGTCTCTCACATAAATGAAGCGAGTCGCTAAATAACTGAATTCACTATTCTCATTTTCATCGATTCGTATGATTTTTAATAAACTTGCTAATCATTCTGCACAAATATATTTTTAAATAATTATTTTTAAGTATATGTTTAGCTCTCTCTATAATTCACGATCCATTCGATAATTCCGACTTGTGATTTACTATGGGAGAACTTATTTTAACGGATGTTAGAAAACTTAGAACAGCTATTTAAGCCTAAACTCGCGAAGAAGAAATGAATTTAATTTTAATTAGATTTAGTAGTAATTCGTATGGTTTAATTTTGAACAATTTATTGAAATTTAATATTATCTGTGATGAGACATCGCTGCAGGAACTTATTTTCCGATGCCATAATTGGAATGTTTCTCATCAATAATTGAATAGTAGTTAAAACTCTGTCATTTAATGATAAAGTATTCAGTTCAAGTTAATTTAACAAAAAGTTAGATTAGATAAGTTAATTATTTTCCATTAATCGCGAAGTTTATCCTATTGTACAGTATAGAACGTCGAAGATAATCATTAGGATTTTACAATTGTCTCTAACGTCTTTTTTAAAATAAAAATATAAAATCTGTGTGAAAATAATATTTTTATATAGTTATATTAAATTTTATCAGAGGAATATTTACTTTAATAATAAGAAATGAATAAAACCCCATTTTTTAATGAACTTAAAAAATCTATTTTATTGGAGCTAATTTACAATTTCTGGAGTACTTTTTGCATCTCATGATAATGGACAATTGAACCTATCAAGAGATACAAAAGCACTTTTGTATGGGTTTGGTTGTTGGAAACTAATTTTCAATGTAAATTAATGAATTCTAATAAAGCAAATTTTTAAGTTTGTTAATTAATCAATTAACTAACTTTAAAATATTTAGAAATATGTAAATATATTAATTACTTACAAACAATTCTTATTAAAATATAAACAGAATTATTAAATGAAATTTATCAGTAAAATATAAAAACAATAAAAAAGTAGATTTTTTTTCCCCTAAAAATTATCTAACATTGAAAAAATGTATTCTGAAGTATATTTTGTTTTAAAGCTTAAGAAAATTTTGATACATTCATTTTTTAAATAATACAAATCATGATTAGTAATAAACTATAAAATCTGTATAACAGTAAGGTAAATATTTTCTTAATATATTATTCACTACACATATAATTTAATTTTTTAAATTCTATTTTGCTGAATTATGAAAAAGCAGAAGTTTATTTAGATTTCTCTGTGAAATAAATACAGAAAAAATGAATAAATATAAAATATATTTATATATACAGTATTTAGTATCACAAGCATCTATGAAAAGTTAAGTAACTATGACAAAATTGTGTAGGAAAAATGAAATTAACTGTATATTTATTAAAAAAAATTGATATACTGATACCATAATGTTATAAAAAATATACTTTGTTATATTAAATGAATAAAGGAAGAAGAAATATTTTTTAGAAACTTTATTTTATCAGATAATGGAATTGATATCGTAATGGAATAAAAGAAACATATTTTATTTAAAGGTTAAAAGCTTTGTGACCTAAACTAGTTTTTATATTTCTATTTTATTTTATCAATTAAAATTTATAACTAGAAAATTTAATAATAATGTTTTTCATAGTCATTTAAATTATGTTTTAGTGTGCTATTTGAAAATTCTTATTTGTTGTTTTATTTTTTACTACAGTATATTAGAATCTTGTAATTTTGTAAAAAGCTTCCTAATTTAAATTAAAACTAACAGCAGATTTTTGTATCTACAGTTTTTTATTTTTAATTTCTAAATTTATATATTCAAACATTTTTTTTTAAATTTCTGTTTAATATTCATATAAGATAATGTATTCACAGCATATTTAAATAAGTAAAATGTATAAGGCTTAGTTAATTCTATATAAGTTTTAGTTAATAAAAATTGCAAATTTATGAAAATCTAAATTTTAAATGTTTGAAAAATACACTGAACAAAATTTTACATTTTTAATGTTTTTATATTTTTTTAAATTTTTAATGTAAAGGCAAAAGAAGTATTTTGGACAGCAACTTATTTCTTCAATTTGGAAATAATGAGATTAAAATTTCTAAAATATTTTTAAGATAATTTCATTATAATAAGAAGCTTAAATAAATCTTATAATCCTAATTAAATTATTATAATATATGGCATGAATATGAAGTGATATCAAAAAAGTTTGCATTTGTATTTGATCTTATTGGAGGATAAATGATATTGAAAAGTCATTTTATTGGTCAAGAATAAAATCTAATACGGTATCATATATCTTTACTGTTTACAAACTATAATCAAATAGCATCAGAAAGAAATATTTTCAGACATGAACCAGATACTATATTGTTTACATTTTTTATTTTCTAATTTTATCAATATTGATGTTATGGACATTCGTTATTATTATACAGTTTATTATAAACATATATTTTTATTGTTAGAAGTTATTTTTGAACAATATAATGTAGTTTTTAAAAATTGTTTTTTTTTAATTATTGTTTACAATTCTGAAAATGCTTTAAGTCACAGTATTCATATATTGCCATAGTGTACTATTGCAAATATATACAATTACAATTGAGAGGTATTACTTATAATTAATGCTGGTTATAATGCATCATCATAGTTTTCAGACCTTAGTTAATTTAACAAGATTAAAGTAGCCACTGTGAATACTCAGCTGAATTGATCAATAAACCTTTTTTTCAAGTGGATGAAGTTTAAAGAATACTAGCATTTTCAATCTGGTTATTAGACCATCTGCAGGCACAGAGTTGAAAGCGTTGGAAGATTGGATAGACCTCAATTGTTTACTCTGTTGGGAACTATCCCATCTTTCTTCCGACACTGGCATCTACTTATAGTTGTCCACACCTGATGGTCTGTTAACCAGGCCAGAAATGTTAACATTCTTTAAACAAATGTTAAAAATTCATTAATTCTGCTTAGTTATTTTTAATATATATTGAAAATAAGATACAAAAGGAGAGAAAATTTTGAGGTTGACAGGATTCTTTGCAATTATATCGTTTTCTTAACTACAGAATCTTGATGCAAAGAAAATTTTGATATCTTAGTATTGAATCAATTCATTTCAAACTATCTGCTTTATTGTGTGTTAATTATTTAATATAACTTCAAAAATCTTCCAATCAACATCTTTGACTCAGTTATAGAAATGTTATGTTTTTCAGTTCAGCTGCAATTTAGCTGTAGGCTATACATATTTCACAGAATAGCCTATGTTTATATGAAATGTTTTAACTAAATCTGAATATTGATGATAAAATTTATCAATATGGAGAACTTAATTCACCATCTCTGTCATTACTTTTCTTTTTTGTTGTAAAAAGTTGAGACTAAAAAGTTACAAAACAAAAAGATAAGATTCATTAATTTAAATTTTATATTTATTGATTAAGAATACAAATTTTATGTAGTTATTATATTAACATTTTATTATATTTAATTTTTGTTTAAATTTACTACAGTATAATATTAATTTTAAAATAATTATTATTCATTTTGAAAAAAAATTGCAATTTCTTATAGGTTTTGCCCACTTGGGAAAGTAAACGTGGTGGTAGCTTAAATCTTAAGTTCCGAACTAATGAACCAAATGCCGTCCTTCTATATAACGGTGGTACTGAAGGAAATTATTTTGCATTAGAACTATTAGATGGCCACATATTCTTATTATTAAATCTGGGATCTGACACTGTTAAAGTTCAAGCTACCTCTCGAAAAGTTGCTGATGGTCACTGGCATACAGTCTCTCTTCGTAAAACTGGAAAATCAGGAAGAATAACTACTGATGAATCTTCAGTAGATTTTACAACTTCAGGTAGAAAATTAGTAACCATTTATTTCTTTATTAAATTAAATGCAATTGTGATATAAATTTTATTCTTTTAAATTACATATATTTTTATATTTCACTTTTTTCAATATGTATTCTTATTAACCTGGACTAGATACACAATACATGTTACAGGGTACTAATTGCTTTTTTTAAAAAAGTGTCAATGGCAGTTTCACCATTACAATTAACAGCTAACTCAATGTGAGTTTCTAATGATTGCATTGCATCAAATTNTCCGACTGATGCAAATATTTTAATTAATTTCATTTTATTTAAATATTATTAAAATCATAATTTATAATCCGTTCCTTTTATGCTATTTTTCTAATGGAAAAATTGTATCGCATATTGAACAATTACTTATAAAGCTATAGATACAATTTACTTTTTGAAATAGTTAAATGAAAGTTTAGATTTAAACTTCTGTTTAAAGATTTAAGTTTAAAGGTTTGTAATTAAAATTTAAATACTTTATTGACATTAAATATCCTGTTTAATATAATCCGTAAACTCATATTTTAAACAAATAAAGACTTTGATAATTCCATTAACTAGATCTTTGCAGTTAAAGAGTCTAATTTGTATATCACATTTTTGGATATCTGCCTACTTTTATTTGATTATCATTTCAACAATTGACTTTTCAAAAGAAAATAAAAAGTTTTTAAGATCTTTAAAATATTTGTAATATAAAATCAACGGTTATCAGAAGTGATCGCATCGCAAATTTAAAATCCATTTTTATGTAAAACTATCATTTTTCCATATTTTCGATAGCCAAAAGTAAAAACATTGAACTTTCACAAACCTGTATAAAATATCTTTACCAATACATAAAACATATTCTCTCTTTATGTACTTTTAACAGTTCTGTGATTGATTATGGAGTATCTTTTTCTAAAATAAAAATTTTAAAGTTTAAAATTGTTTAAAAAAATTCAACGTGAATTTTGGTTTTTTTTAAAAAAAATGGTAGTAAGCCATCTTTAATACGTTAAATTTTCACATTAGATAACTTTTTTCCTCCACTGCACAATAGCAAAAATAATTTTCATTCTTGTCAAACTGAGAATAAAATATCTTATTTATAAGGTGAACCAAGTGTAACTTATTCAATAAGTATTCTGCATAAATTTATTAGTTTTATAAGTGATTGAATATAATGCATTATCCATATTTTTCGAAAAATTAATTACTGTAAAAAGTTTCGTAGTTTGAAAAGAATACAGTAGCCTATTTCTTTTCTGCAATTTGAACTTTTTGTAATATAGACGTTGTAGGACTCTATCGACAAGTGATGTAAGCTTGTAGGTTTCGTAGAGTTGTCAACTGTAAGTTTTTGAATTGAAGAATCCGGATTTAACTCATTTTCTTCGAGTACCAGATTGTTTGATCACTTCTCTGATCAAATACGTCTCTAATTGTTAAACAGTGCCGTTTAATTTTTTTGAAATCAAGTGTTTTTTTAAACGTTTTATTACTTTTGTTCAATATTCATTTTCTTTACTATGTTTGTAATTATTCTGTGATCATAGAAATTAATTAATTATAAATATATAAATACACACACACATTTATATATGTTTATATATTATATATATAAACATATATACTGTATATAATATAATACAATAAGTATGAGAGTGAAGGGTACCACGTATGTAGCAAACTATCTTTGATTCATTCGATATTTCATTTTCAAAGGTGAGGCTGTCTCACAGTTAACATGAATTAATAATTGCCAACTATAAGATTTCTATTTTTGAATTCTTGAAAATTTCTTAAATGAATTATTAATGATAATAGTTCTAATGGAACTTATTAAAACTTTATTATAACTATTATCATCATTATTAAATTTAAATAATTTCAAGAACAGGTCTATTAGTCTACTGTTTTATCTTGAAATAGAGCTTAAATAAAATTTTGCACAAATTATTTTAAAAACCTACATTTCTGCATAAAAAGTATTTTTATAAAATAAAATTTAAAAGTTACATTTAAAAATTTTATCTGTTCTGTGGTAGGAAAAATCTAGATTTCTTTCTGGTTTATTATTTATATAGGATGTCCAACAGATTCCATATCTTGACAATCGGATGGCCGGGCGGTTAAGATATCAGCATATCGCTCTGAGGGATCCTAAAACGAATCTGGAAGTTTGAAGACCCCCATGAATTTTTAGAGGGTAGTCCGTCCCTGATATATCCGATCTCGTCCCTCATCACCTAACCACCCATTGTAGGTCTGGCCAAACCTACGATGACATTGATTAAAAACACTCTCTTAGTGCCCACAAGGTGAAAAGAGTCCATAAAAAGTAGATTCCATGTTGTGATTATACTCATAGTATTAAACTTGCTATACGTACGCACAACCAATAAAGAAATAAATAGGAAATAATGCATATTTATAAAAATGTAAGATGCTTCAGTATGTCAATAACAATAAGCCAATCTTTACAATCGGATCGTTCCGAATAATTTTTGCGCCTGAAGCAAGTCTAAGAACAGCGCAATTATACTTGTATTCAATGTTCCCTCTAAGTTGCGCGGCTGCGCACTGCTCAAATTGTTACCGCGCAGGCGAGCATGCACACCGATTTGAATTGTTGTTTACTTATTTCTCACTCTATCTGCAAGAGTCGTATTCCTATAAACATTATAGACAAGTTCAGTAAATAAACTCGGATTCCGGAAAAGTATTTTTTAATGCTCAGGAAATTATAACAAAGAATCGATTCTTTGTGCGTGCTTTCAAAATGTCGAAATGTCTTACAAGGTTTCGCTATTACTCCAAAACAGAATATTATACAACATTATTTACATAACATACGTACCATTTTCTATTGTCTGAGGTAATATTTTCATTCAAAAATAAAGAAAATTCGTACTCTTCGCAACGAAATCGGTAACAAGTGGGAGCAGCCATATTCTTGCACTGACCAAAAACTAAGTCTAAACGCAGTGCATTTAATTCTGGCAATGGAAGCAATTGTTTTCTGAACGCTACGCACTGAAACCGGTTCTTTTACTAACCGATCCGTACATGAACTGACGCACTTAATTTATTTACTGAACTCGTCTTATGACACTTTTTTAGTATCCGGAGCTCCATTTAATTCATCTCCTGATTACATCATTCGTATACATTTTGAATGTCATCAGTGCAGAAATCGTTGGCATCCAACGAACAGAACAATGTGCCTAGTCAACTTGCACATGCGTAATGAGGTTAACTTTTCTTGTTTTAATCATTCAAATAATAATAATAAAAAAAATACCTTAACAACACGCACAAATAAAATTGAATCGAAATATATCATTATAAATATCGCATAATACTGTATAATAAAGTGACCGATATAGAGTAATAAAAACTAATAATTAACATAATTGCCATCGCTAACTCACGTTTTTGATTATCTGGTATAAAAATAATACGAAAAATATCATTGTATTAATTTATTAATAATTTTATTTATTAAATATGATCCGACTTTACGCATTAAATGAAAATTATTTGAATTTTTTAAAACTCTTTTTCCGTGTCGATATTAACAAGGCATTTTTTTTAACAAGTCCATTTATGGGTTCGTCCTGGTCCATAATGGGGCGGCCGTGTGATGAGAGACGAGGCCCGACATACCTGGACGGACTACCCCCTGAAAAATTTCTGGGCTTTTTCCCAGGAATTTTAATTCGTAAGAAGTCGATCCTGGGTTCCCAGAGCGCTAGGCTGCTACTTTAACCGCTTGGCCATTATACGAGTATAAAGTTCTTTATAGATTTGAGCGTTGTACAAGTACAATATTTCTTGTTACTATTTTATAATTTGTATTCTATTAATGGCATTTAATTAGATAATAATAGAATACAAAGTATAAAATATCAATATGGGATTAAAACAAAATATTAAGTCAAAATTTTTAAGGATTATATAGAATTTTACTTTTTTTTCCTAAAATAAACTCACAGATTAATATAAACAAGTAAATATATACTTACATGCCTCAGCTTTGCAGCTTCACATGTAAATCCAATCTTTTATATCTGAAATTATATAACACATCCAGTAAAGTGTCTTTCTTGCTTGTTTACTTATCTTTATTGTTACTTATCGCATTTCATATAAATCTTAGTGTGTGGATGGCCTTTGATATTGTCTGTTGACATAAAGTAGAAATTTCTGAATTACTTTATCCATTAATTCTGCACGGCAAAACTACTACTACTTTGACTAACGGCCTTGACCCTTCTCCAGTTTATGCTAAAATATCAGACAGATTAATTGGCATAGTTTTTATAGGCTAAAATATATTTCACGCGCTAACGGGATAGGAGATTACTCTAACCCCACATGGCAACCATACTGTTTTGATTTGCATCCAAGTCCGTTTAACTCGCGAATCTTCTCCGCTTCATCTATAGGCACGGCCCTGTTTGTAATATGAGAAGTAATCAAAGTAATGAAAGAAAACGAGTTGAGTTAAAACCGATTTATTGAAATTAAAAATTTTAAAGATTCGAAATCAGAAGAAGAAAAAATTTAGTAGAAAAATTATTATTATTAAGTATTAAATATTGATGACGGGAAATTATACGATTACGAAAAAAGAAATTCTCGTTAGAATTTCCTGTTAACTGTTTAATGTCAGCGTAACGAAAAATTACTAATATAAAATTGTTAAAGTTAATCTAATGGAAAATTGTTAATAAAATTCAAACTTTACAAGTTTTATATTAGTTACCTTCTTAATACGTAATGAATCGATTATAGGCTTTCTTTTACCGTGTTATCTACGGCGATTTTTCGCGTGTAAATTGACAGATACTGTATTTATTCTCCTGGTAGATTCATGTACCAGATTGATTCACTTGTCTGTTCAGTGATCCCATCATCAATTATTATATGAAAGGGATAGAGAAAGTTTTCGTCTCTCACATAAATGAAGCGAGTCGCTAAATAACTGAATTCACTATTCTCATTTTCATCGATTCGTATGATTTTTAATAAACTTGCTAATCATTCTGCACAAATATATTTTTAAATAATTATTTTTAAGTATATGTTTAGCTCTCTCTATAATTCACGATCCATTCGATAATTCCGACTTGTGATTTACTATGGGAGAACTTATTTTAACGGATGTTAGAAAACTTAGAACAGCTATTTAAGCCTAAACTCGCGAAGAAGAAATGAATTTAATTTTAATTAGATTTAGTAGTAATTCGTATGGTTTAATTTTGAACAATTTATTGAAATTTAATATTATCTGTGATGAGACATCGCTGCAGGAACTTATTTTCCGATGCCATAATTGGAATGTTTCTCATCAATAATTGAATAGTAGTTAAAACTCTGTCATTTAATGATAAAGTATTCAGTTCAAGTTAATTTAACAAAAAGTTAGATTAGATAAGTTAATTATTTTCCATTAATCGCGAAGTTTATCCTATTGTACAGTATAGAACGTCGAAGATAATCATTAGGATTTTACAATTGTCTCTAACGTCTTTTTTAAAATAAAAATATAAAATCTGTGTGAAAATAATATTTTTATATAGTTATATTAAATTTTATCAGAGGAATATTTACTTTAATAATAAGAAATGAATAAAACCCCATTTTTTAATGAACTTAAAAAATCTATTTTATTGGAGCTAATTTACAATTTCTGGAGTACTTTTTGCATCTCATGATAATGGACAATTGAACCTATCAAGAGATACAAAAGCACTTTTGTATGGGTTTGGTTGTTGGAAACTAATTTTCAATGTAAATTAATGAATTCTAATAAAGCAAATTTTTAAGTTTGTTAATTAATCAATTAACTAACTTTAAAATATTTAGAAATATGTAAATATATTAATTACTTACAAACAATTCTTATTAAAATATAAACAGAATTATTAAATGAAATTTATCAGTAAAATATAAAAACAATAAAAAAGTAGATTTTTTTTCCCCTAAAAATTATCTAACATTGAAAAAATGTATTCTGAAGTATATTTTGTTTTAAAGCTTAAGAAAATTTTGATACATTCATTTTTTAAATAATACAAATCATGATTAGTAATAAACTATAAAATCTGTATAACAGTAAGGTAAATATTTTCTTAATATATTATTCACTACACATATAATTTAATTTTTTAAATTCTATTTTGCTGAATTATGAAAAAGCAGAAGTTTATTTAGATTTCTCTGTGAAATAAATACAGAAAAAATGAATAAATATAAAATATATTTATATATACAGTATTTAGTATCACAAGCATCTATGAAAAGTTAAGTAACTATGACAAAATTGTGTAGGAAAAATGAAATTAACTGTATATTTATTAAAAAAAATTGATATACTGATACCATAATGTTATAAAAAATATACTTTGTTATATTAAATGAATAAAGGAAGAAGAAATATTTTTTAGAAACTTTATTTTATCAGATAATGGAATTGATATCGTAATGGAATAAAAGAAACATATTTTATTTAAAGGTTAAAAGCTTTGTGACCTAAACTAGTTTTTATATTTCTATTTTATTTTATCAATTAAAATTTATAACTAGAAAATTTAATAATAATGTTTTTCATAGTCATTTAAATTATGTTTTAGTGTGCTATTTGAAAATTCTTATTTGTTGTTTTATTTTTTACTACAGTATATTAGAATCTTGTAATTTTGTAAAAAGCTTCCTAATTTAAATTAAAACTAACAGCAGATTTTTGTATCTACAGTTTTTTATTTTTAATTTCTAAATTTATATATTCAAACATTTTTTTTTAAATTTCTGTTTAATATTCATATAAGATAATGTATTCACAGCATATTTAAATAAGTAAAATGTATAAGGCTTAGTTAATTCTATATAAGTTTTAGTTAATAAAAATTGCAAATTTATGAAAATCTAAATTTTAAATGTTTGAAAAATACACTGAACAAAATTTTACATTTTTAATGTTTTTATATTTTTTTAAATTTTTAATGTAAAGGCAAAAGAAGTATTTTGGACAGCAACTTATTTCTTCAATTTGGAAATAATGAGATTAAAATTTCTAAAATATTTTTAAGATAATTTCATTATAATAAGAAGCTTAAATAAATCTTATAATCCTAATTAAATTATTATAATATATGGCATGAATATGAAGTGATATCAAAAAAGTTTGCATTTGTATTTGATCTTATTGGAGGATAAATGATATTGAAAAGTCATTTTATTGGTCAAGAATAAAATCTAATACGGTATCATATATCTTTACTGTTTACAAACTATAATCAAATAGCATCAGAAAGAAATATTTTCAGACATGAACCAGATACTATATTGTTTACATTTTTTATTTTCTAATTTTATCAATATTGATGTTATGGACATTCGTTATTATTATACAGTTTATTATAAACATATATTTTTATTGTTAGAAGTTATTTTTGAACAATATAATGTAGTTTTTAAAAATTGTTTTTTTTTAATTATTGTTTACAATTCTGAAAATGCTTTAAGTCACAGTATTCATATATTGCCATAGTGTACTATTGCAAATATATACAAATACAATTGAGAGGTATTACTTATAATTAATGCTGGTTATAATGCATCATCATAGTTTTCAGACCTTAGTTAATTTAACAAGATTAAAGTAGCCACTGTGATTACTCAGCTGAATTGATCAATAAACCTTTTTTTCAAGTGGATGAAGTTTAAAGAATACTAGCATTTTCAATCTGGTTATTAGACCATCTGCAGGCACAGAGTTGAAAGCGTTGGAAGATTGGATAGACCTCAATTGTTTACTCTGTTGGGAACTATCCCATCTTTCTTCCGACACTGGCATCTACTTATAGTTGTCCACACCTGATGGTCTGTTAACCAGGCCAGAAATGTTAACATTCTTTAAACAAATGTTAAAAATTCATTAATTCTGCTTAGTTATTTTTAATATATATTGAAAATAAGATACAAAAGGAGAGAAAATTTTGAGGTTGACAGGATTCTTTGCAATTATATCATTTTCTTATCTACAGTATCTTGATGCAAAGAAAATTTTGATATCTTAGTATTGAATCAATTCATTTCAAACTATCTGCTTTGTGTGTTAATTATTTAATATGCCTTCAAAAATCTTCCAATCAACATCTTTGACTCAGTTATAGAAATGTTATGTTTTTCAGTTCAGCTGCAATTTAGCTGTAGGCTATACATATTTCACAGAATAGCCTATGTTTATATGAAATGTTTTAACTAAATCTGAATATTGATGATAAAATTTATCAATATGGAGAACTTAATTCACCATCTCTGTCATTACTTTTCTTTTTTGTTGTAAAAAGTTGAGACTAAAAAGTTACAAAACAAAAAGATAAGATTCATTAATTTAAATTTATATTTATTGATTAAGAATACAAATTTTATGTAGTTATTATATTAACATTTTATTATATTTAATTTTTGTTTAAATTTACTACAGTATAATATTAATTTTAAAATAATTATTATTCATTTTGAAAAAAAATTGCAATTTCTTATAGGTTTTGCCCACTTGGGAAAGTAAACGTGGTGGTAGCTTAAATCTTAAGTTCCGAACTAATGAACCAAATGCCGTCCTTCTATATAACGGTGGTACTGAAGGAAATTATTTTGCATTAGAACTATTAGATGGCCACATATTCTTATTATTAAATCTGGGATCTGACACTGTTAAAGTTCAAGCTACCTCTCGAAAAGTTGCTGATGGTCACTGGCATACAGTCTCTCTTCGTAAAACTGGAAAATCAGGAAGAATAACTACTGATGAATCTTCAGTAGATTTTACAACTTCAGGTAGAAAATTAGTAACCATTTATTTCTTTATTAAATTAAATGCAATTGTGATATAAATTTTATTCTTTTAAATTACATCTATTTTATATTTCACTTTTTTCAATATGTATTCTTATTAACCTGGACTAGATACACAATACATGTTACAGGGTACCAATTGCTTTTTTTAAAAAAGTGTCAATGGCAGTTTCACCATTACAATTAACAGCTAACTCAATGTGAGTTTCTAATGATTGCATTGCATCAAATTTCAGATCATCTACAACCTCAATAATATCCACTTTTCGAAGGCACAGCACAGATGCTTTCTTTTCCGAATCTACATGTATTCCCATAACAAGAGAGAGAGAAGGAGATTCCTGATGACCATTAAAATACTTTTTCATTGTGAAGACATTGCAGTAATGATTTGTAAAAATCTGTTTAAGTGCATCTCTTGAAGTTTCTGCAATACATTTCATTTCCACTACACACCCAAATGTATCATTATAAAGTACCACATCAATTTTTGTTCCGTAATTTGGAATTATTATTTCATTACTGAAAAGAAATCCTCCTCGAGTACATACCGATGACACTACAGCCTGTAATGTTGCCTCATTCAGTGGATCAATAAGTGTTGCCTTTTTAAGTAGACAAGTTACAGCCTGTTGAAAATTTACTAATTCTTCTTTAAACTCTGCAAATGAATTATATTTATCACAAAGACGGGCTAGTTTGGAAAATGATCGTGAACAAGCCTGGGCGCTTACTTCCTTAATACCGTATCTTTTAGAAAAATAATACTGTAGTCGCCTATTAAATTCATCAATTAGCTCACCATTAGGTATTTTGAGCATTTCATCATTCACTGAATATGTTAAGTATCCTAGAGATATAAGAAACTGTACAACTATCTCTGTTTCACAAATTAACTCTGAAAGAATTAACAAGTTGTGCAAAGATTTCAAATCACTTAAACTCTAATGGTGTTATCTTGGTTTTGAAGTTTACAGCACCTTGTAGCAGTTTGTTCAACAAGCTTCTCACATCATCTATTCGAAATAGTTCATAGAAATGCTGGATGTACCCAGATTGTAGCCAATAATTTTGTAAAGCATCTTCTCCCAGTTGTAAATTATGCAGAAATTGCACAACAGATTGAGGATTATATAATAGTTTCATCTCCCCATTGACATAGCCATTATATTTAGCCATTGCTTTTTTCTTCAACTTCTCATATACACCCCACTTATCAAACAGAATACAAACTTCATCTTCATTGAACCCATAGAAATCCTGGCATAAATTTTTGGTTCCAAATTGGCATTGCATCACATTACCCAGTAGGCTGGAAATCATTATACCAGCCACATCCAAAATTCCTATGATAAACACACCTTGAACGATATCACCTCGACATTTCAAGGCATAACTAATTATTTGAATGCAGAATTTGGCAGCACATTCTAGCTCTTCAAGCTCTTTCTGTGGATCAGCATTTTTGATATTATACAATGCATTTGATATAATTGAATCATACTCATCAACAAGCACGTAAACCTTCCTTTTATGGAATTTATTCAAAACAATCGTCAAAACTGACAGACCATTCACTACATCCTCATCACTAATTCTTTGGTAACTAATTGGACAACACCATTGTTTGCAAATATCTTTTTCTTCATATCCCAATGGCGACTCTTTGGATTTGTAAAGGTATTCATGTTTCATGAAAGCCTCGTGTATAGCATATCTACACGCCCTCACTGCATCAGATTGGCTTTTGATGTCAAAAGCGCAGAGAAAACTTATTTTGATAATCGGATATTGTCCAAAATGAATTTTTACAAACTTCTTATTCTCCATGACTTTTAACTTGAACTTTGTTGAATTGAACAGTATGTAGTTATCTTTTTCTTCCAAAACAGTTGTTTTCTCTTTTCCATTTTCATCTACTTCCAACTCCAAGAAACGTTCCATCATTGTCAAGTTTACAGTTTTGCCAAACCGACGGGGTGCGGTACACAATACCACAGAATTGACATCCTTTTGAAAAACAGCCAAAATCAATGCAGTTTTATCAATAAAGGTATCAGAGTTCAGAACACATTCGAATTGCGCTGAACAGGAAGACTGCAAACTCGGATTTGACTCTATTGTCCTGTAAAATTAAACAATTATATCACTTAGGTCTAATACAAATGAATCAAATTTAAAAATAGATGGAGAGTCAACTTACACCATTGCTATCAATGTCTTCTGCATGATCTTCCATTTTTTTAATTAAACAAGAGTAACTACCTGTAACAATGAATGAAAACCAAGAATTAATTTTAGTCACATAATTAAATTTGTCATGCAATCGCAGACAAACAAATAGCAAAAACAAACTGGAAGCATGATAGACAAGCCAAAGAATACTCTTCACTGAATTTAACAATCATTGAATTTTGAATTAACCCTTTAACTTAAACTTATGTAATTATTAAAAATAAATTATAAATATACATATATCATATGTACACCTACACTTTCACAGACATTGTGAGTCAACTGAATAATGACAAAATTCAAATTAGAATTTATAAAATAAATTATAATATGAGCAATATCAAAGAAAGCAAGATTGTTGCAGAGTATTACACGCTGTTAAAAACAACAACAATCAGAATACCAACAATTCAAAAACAGTTATAAATCTTATCCAGGACAAAAAAATGAAATACCGTGTTTCCCCGAAAATAAGACATCCGCAGAAAATAAGACCTAGCACAGATTTTGCTGAATTGCGAAATATAAGACCTCCCCCTGAAAATAAGACCTAGCAAAGTTTTTTTTAGTCGTAACGGTCATCGGCAGATGGTTGAAAGTGGCCGTTGGCTTTTTGAAAGTACAGCCACTGATTGGTCAGCAGACAATTACGCCACACGGCATGATTTGCAGAAGACTATGGCTTGGGAATCACAGATTTGCATAACGTTACGGCTGGTAATGGCTAATTGGTCGGCCTGGAATCACGCCACATGACATTTGCATAGTGCTACGGTTCAGTAAGCACTAATTGGTAATCGAGTCCGATGTTGACCCTATAAAAAGGCGACAGTTCGACACACCGGATATACGTCACTCTCGACTAAGTTCGACTTGGGAATTTTTTTCTTCAATAATAAATGTGAATTCTTCTTCCTGGAAAAAATAAGATATTCCCTGAAAATAAGACCTAGCACATTTTTCAGAGCAAAAATTAATATAAGACACTGTCTTATTTTCGGGGAAACACGGTAGGTATACCCCTAAGCATAGCAAAGAATATCAATGAAGTAATCTATCAAATGAAAAATTGTAATTTTGTCATTGAATATCTCAATTTGACCTCTTCATGAGTTGATCTTTACCCAAACTCTGAATAGGTGTTTAGACTGCATTTTCTTTGTAAATTAAATAATGTTCCTTCAATTGGTAAAGTGCATTGACAGGCTTGTGATTCTAAAATTAGCCTGATCCAATGAATGATCCAAATAAAAATAAACTCAACAGATGCACATGCAGTTGCTGTGAGTTTTGTACTCTCGCAGGTTTAAAAAACTAACATTTTTAATTGTGACTTATCACTGACCCAACTAATAAATAAAATTTCTAAAATAAATTAAAGAATAACAATATTACTTTCTTTAGTATTTGTCAGAGTATTACACACCACTAAAAACAAGACAACCATCTGAACTTCAGCAATTTAAAAATAGTTACAAATCTTTAACTCAAGATAAACTAAATATACCAAAAAATATCAATGAAGTAACTCAAATGAGAAATCATAATTTTGCTATCAAATATCTCAATTTGACTGAAAAAAAACTAAGACAGATTTTTGCAATTCTAAAGGCATTTCCAGAAATTCCCTAAATTTGGGGCTAAATTCAGTTGGCATTAAGTTTGCATGTAAAACAAGAACAAATAGGTACAACCCAGAACAAAAGAAAAAATGGTAACAAAAGAAAATAAAAAATAAACTATTTGCTAATGTAGTAATTGAAGCAGGTAATCGTAAAAATATGTTTTGATGAAGAAGCAGATGAATTAATTAGTAAATCTTTAGAAACTTTTCAGTCATAAATGGACAAACTAGTTTCAATGCTGCCAAATATTCTAAAAACATTTTTCTGTTTTGGGGCGCTTTCATCTATTCAGGACTTAGTGATATCGAACAATGATCTATTTAACATTAATACACATTAAAGACCTGTCCTGTTAATTCAAGACTGATGGTTGTGCCATTGATTCTCATCAATAGACACATACCTATAAATGGTATAAGCTGTCAGGAAACAGGAGATGCTGTAAGAATAGATCAGATTGTAATCTGAATGAAAACGAAATGTTTTGCACTTTTTTATTAACTCGGTAAACAGTGGTTTGGAAATAAGGATCTTTATAGAATTTTTTTTTCTGTGTTTTTTTTAATAATTTCTTTATTGTACCCAATTGAATGAATTCATGACTCTATTAGTAGATACCTTTTTTTCCTATTGATTCTTCAGCGGTTCCATCCTGAACCGTTGGTATGGAATGAAAAATCCAGGGTCTGGGATGGCGAACCCTAATTTTAAAAGAATGAAAAGTCATTTTAGAGTATCTAAAAATAAAGGACTTTGACCTCCTTTTCAATTATTTTAATAACTTTTTAGACTGAATTTCAATCATTTTTACTTGTTTTTTTAATGTTTTTTTTAATGTGCCTAATTGCCCTGGACCAGAAATAAAAAGTCATATTAGGTTGTCTGAAAACAATGGATTTTGTAAGGTTTTTTGAGTCCTTTATGGTGATTTTCAACGATTCTTTCATATATCAAATTTTTGGTCGTCTAAAGATCTTGATGTACTTTTGGAGTGTCTAAAAATTGAAATATTTCAGGAGATTGTAAAGCTTGTTTTTGGGGATTTTTTTAAAATTGATATTTGCATGTGCGAAATGCTCTGGTCTAGAAATTAAAAGCTATTTTGGGGTGTTTAAAAACAAGGTACTTTGTAAGTTTTTTAGAAGACTTTTGAGGTAATCTTGCTTGATTTGGGGTGATTTTCAATGATTTTTGCATATGCCAAATGCCCTGGTCCAGAAGTAACATTTTATATACTACTAGCTTTATTAAGTCATAAGGTCAACATTTCCTAAAAAACTAAAAATTTTATTACAAATTATTTTATACTATTCTATTACAAAAATTTTAAACTTAACCTATATTTCTATGGCAATATAAATAATATATAACAATATAATCAACTTATCTATCCTATTTTGTTTACCAGTGTGGGTTATTAATATTCATCAATGTTACATTAATTATGAATTCTATTTTTCTGATTAAACTCGGAGCTTCCAGTCATCAGATTAGCTTTTTCAGTAATACTCAACTTTTTAGGGTCCTGTCAACTTGTCAGTGCAGTGCTACAATTTGTCTTCTTTTTCTCCATTTTGGTTTTACTTTTGCTGTCTTTTATTCTGGTACCTTTAAGTAAAATCCACTAAGTTAGCTGAATTGGGTTTTGTCCCAATTTCTTTCTCATATGTGTGGAGTAGTAGTAAACATGTCGGGTCAAAGTTGCCAGAATGGATGATTAATCACAAAATTGGCCATTCAGACAGCTAAATTGTATTTAATAGTCTTCTTGACATTTTGAATGTCAGGTCTGTAAATTATTAATATAAAACTTTATAGATGAATTTTAATCAAAGTATAAAATTTTCAATAGACAAATTGAATTTATAAAATATTCATAGATTAATCAAAGAAAACTTACTTAAATGCCAAAATACATTTAATTTATTGAAATAATTTAGATTACCATTATGGATAATTATATAAACCAATATAAACTATCAATTTACAGCATTTCACTGAAATATCTCAGTAGTATAGAAATTTTTAGCCAAAATAATTATTATTATTTTGGCTAAAATCAATAATAATTTTTTTTAATTACTGTTGTTTTTAGCTGTTTAGACTATCTTGATTTGAAATAAAAACAATCGTACAAAATTTAAAAATACCGGTATGTACTTTTAAAATTTAAAATATTCATAAAATCAATTACAAAAAAAAATATTTAGATATAAAAATAATTAATAAAATACTGGAAAATAAATATGTTAGACATGATATTTGTAATAAAACATCTATAGATATCTAAAAAAATCACTAGAATATGTATTTTTTTTAAATGATTTTTTAAATTATATTGATGTCTGTATTATTGATGCCATTAAAAATAAATATCATCAAGAATTAAAATAATAATGTATATAATGTTAATATTTTAATTTTAATATGTATCTTAGTTATGTTACATCGTGCTTTATTTATAATTGTTAAGAACCAAAGATATTTTTCATGACTGATTATATGCAAATTTCATCTCTGTTTCTTTATTCTTATGGTTGTTATTCCCTATATCAGCAGTCTTTCTTAGAATAAGAATGGATCTGAGGTTCATTAGTCTATATATGCAAAGGAAAATAGTTTTGTGATTATTACAAAGTAGATCATAATACAGTATGTATAGAACATATATTAGAAAATTGTAAGATATGTTTAAACTATTATAATAAACTTGAAATTTCCAACATTTTTGCAAGAAATTAAGATCATAAAAAAACCACAAAAATGTGTCACACCTCATATGACACGATGTTTGAATTTTATAGGTTTTTATTCCATTCTATTTATTACTTATAGCCATCATTGCTTAGCTATGATGGGAGAATAATACATATTTAAGATTTAACACATCAGCAGCTCCATTCTTATTCTGGGAAATGCTATAGTTCTAAACCAAAAACTAAAGTGCATTCCTATAATCAATTACCATCAAACCAATCAATGTTCCAGAAGTAATCTTATTTCCAAGATGTTAAAAGAGATTACTTTCCTATCTTTAGTAACAGGTGAAGAAATACATGCATGAGTGATGAGATGGTTTATTTAGACTTTTTAAATATTTTTACCGTTTGGACTAGAATTACCAAGCATTCAATTTTGAATCAATGTAGAATATTTGTTATAGATATGAATATACTAGATTCATATCTGGTGTCTTATCGAATCTTATCTAGATTCAATAAATCTAGTATATTATTGTATCATATGAAAATTGTAAACACTACATGTGATTCACAATATGCTAAAAATTGATATTTATAATTACTAAAAGTAAATGCAACAAAAAAAACAGAGAGAAAATATTCTACATATAACACCATTAACATTCTTAATGATATATAATTCATCTTATGACTAAAATATACATTTATAATATGTATATCTATTTTGATTAAAAATTATATAAAAGTAATCAAATATTTCACCTGAAAAAGAAAACAGATGGTTTGAACAAAAATGCAGATTACTATATAGGCATATGATTGGATAATAAAATTTGATTTCCAGTTGAAATCAAACATATTTTGTCTGTTTTTAAGGTCTTTATTTCTTTTTCAATGATGCAAAAATTATATATTAAAGCTTATGTTCTAAGGACTATTTATATATTAACAAGTCAACTATTTAGTTTTTCAGAAAAGATCATTTAGTTAAATTAACAAATCACAAGAGAAACTAAATTATATCATATAAGAGAAGAATGAATTCTGATTTTATATAAGATTTGATTAATGAATTGATATAGATCTGGAGAATGTAAATTTTCAAATTTGCAATTTCATTTTTTTATTTAGGATAACTTAATTAGGATATGTGATTTTACATTTTTACAGTTAATATTTAAGATATTTACTATATAGATATACATATTTTACATATTTATATTTATTATATTTGGCATATTTCAGGAAATTCTAATCAATTAGACCTTACAGGACCATTATATGTTGGTGGAATTGCACCAAATGAAAAATTGCCTAGTGAAATGTGGGCAGGAAATTTATTATATGGATTTGTTGGTTGTATTCGCAATCTAGTAATAAATAGTAAAGCAATAGATATTGCAAGTTATGCTAAACAGCAAGACTCTGGAAGCATTCAACCTTCTTGTCATGCTCCACCTAATCATTGTGATAGTCGTCCATGTCTTAATGAAGGAATTTGTATACCTGGTTGGAACAGATTTACTTGTGATTGTTCTGATACGCCTTACATTGGTCCTATTTGTGCAAAAGGTAAATTGTTTTATGCAAAAGTTATTTTGTTTAATAGATTTATATAAATTAAAAACTATATGATTTTTAAACAAATTAGCTGCCACTACTGTAAATTTTGATGGTGATCAATATATGAAAATTATATTGGGTGAAGGATTTCTATCAGAAGCTGAAGATATAGGCCTAAGATTCCGTACAGCTCAACAGTCAGGATTATTATTTTCTACTCATTCTAACAAATCTTCCACATATTTGATTGCTTGTTTAGAATTGGGAAGAATTAAAGTCTTGATAAATTTGGGAGAAGGTGATAAGGTAATAAACGTTTCAATTACTTAAAAAGTAATTATATAATTAGTAAAATATATAATTCACCTTAACCTGGCGATCCTCATGGTCAGATTTGTAACACTGTTACTTGAGGGTGAGCACTGCGCTCACCCTACATATTTTCATATTCTTAATGATTTGTCTTCAGAAATTTTACTAAGATTAAGAAGTTTTGTTATGAATAATACACATTTTAATGTTTATTTTACTTTACTTCAGTTAGAATACATTAAAAGTAATTTCAATATAGAAACAGAAAACTGATTTCCAATCAGATCAATGAGATCAGTAAAAACAGAAATACGATATCTGAAATTATTGTTAAACTTCTTCTTCTTCTTCTTCTTCTTTTGTCCCTAGCTGGCATTTGGTTGCGGGTGTCTGCGCAACCAGTATGCTGCTGTGGGTGCCGCAGGAAGTCGAGCTTTCTCCACAATGCCCCTCCAATGCCCTCGATCCATGGCCGCCGCTTTTGCCTGGTTCAGATCAAGCCGTTGGTTCTTGAGGTCCTCCTCAACGTGTTTAGTCCATGTTTTCTTAGGTGCGGAGTGTTGGATTTTCCACAGATTAGGTCGCTGTCGGAAGAGCAGTTGGTGGGGAATCCGGTTAAAATCCATTCGGCACACATGGCCAAACCATCTCAGCCGTCGCTGTTGAATTTGTGTCTTAACAGATGGCTGTTGTCGGCATCTGGCCCGGATGGCATTGTTGGTGATGCGATCCCAAAGGGAGATACCAAGAATCTGTCTCAAGCATTTCAATTGAAAGGTCTCAAGTTTGTCCAAGTCTGTCTTAAGCAAGGTCCAAGTTTCTGACCCATAGAGAAGGATTGGTATGACTAGTGTACGGAACAGGCGGATCTTGGTCATCAAAGAAATGTTCTTCTTTCTCCATACACACCATTTGAGTGAGGCAAATGCATGGGCTGCCTGTCCAATACGGGCATGAGTTTCTTTTGACGATGCCACTTTCTTCTCCTGGATCAGTGACCCAAGGTATTTAAACTCTTGTACCTGCTCAATTTGGACTCCATTAAGGTAAACAGTTGCCCGCGATCCATCCGTTGTAAGCACTTTGGTTTTGTCCACATTTATTTTAAGACCATATGACTGAGCGATAGTGGCTATATCATAAAGCGTATCTGTGGCCACTACATCGTTGTCAGCGAAGACGGCACTGTCGTCGGCAAACATTAGATCAGTTAGAAAGTGGCCATCCCCAAACTGGACACCACATTTCCCATCAAATGTCTTCCTCATAATTGAATCCACCACAATATTAAACAATAGTGGAGAGACCACGTCTCCCTGGCGAACTCCTGTCTGGATGGTAAACTCCTCAGATAGTTCCCCCCGGATTCGCAGTTGACTGGTGGAATCTTTGTAGGCTTCCTTGAGTAGTGTGATAACTTTTTGTGGGACATGCTCATTCTCAAGTGCTCTCCATAGCGCAGGCCTGTGCACACAGTCGAATGCAGATTTGAAATCGATGAACAGGACAATGGTCCGTTTGCCGCATCTGGTCCTTTCCTCAATAAGCTGACGCAGGGCAAAGATTTGATCACAGCAACCACGACCAGGACGAAACCCTGCCTGTTCTTCTCGGCTGGTTTCTTCACGGTGTTTTTGTAACCTTGATTGGATTATCTTCATAAATACTTTGCCAACGATGGAAACGAGACTGATACCGCGATAATTACTGCAATCCCGGCTATCGCCTTTCTNTAATGCTTATATCTATACATAAAAATAATAATATATTATAAATTAAATAGATTAATAAATAAATCTTTAAAAAGTTCAAATAGTAGTTTTTCATGTTTTCAGATTGCATTATTATTTCTATTTTGATATTCAATTAAATATAATTTATTAAATGTTAGGTATTGTTTTGAATATAAATGTTATTGGAATAATTTTGATTAACTATATTTTAGAATTCAAAAAATTTCTTTTGGAATATTTAACCTTAATTAATGGAGTTATTCCTTCTTTGAAAACTTAATTGTCGAAGAGTAAATCAGAATATTTCTTTTGAATGTTTTTATATGATAAAAGCTTTATAGCCAAGATGGATGGTGCTTTATGCTCCTTGGATCTAGAAATGTTCTTTAATAAATATGATTAGTTTAATTGTCAAAAATAACGAAAATCTGCTTTATTGAGCTTATTTAACTTGAATAATAGTTTTTGTAGTAGTTTCAGGCAATCAAGTCCATTGTCAAGAGATATAGCAGATTTATGTAGTTACCTGAATATACTATAGATAATTATTACTTTAGTTTAAGTGAGCTCCAATAAAATAGATTTATGTTATTTTTTTAAAGAATTTGGAATTATTGTATTTTCATTGTATTAGTCATCAAAATTTTGAAATAGTCAAAAGTTATTGCTGTAATTATTGCAATATACTTGTTGAGCTGCAATTTTCAAAAATTGTAGACCTATAAATTTCCACTGGCATCTTTCTTAATCTTGAGAATGGAGTTAGATAGATGAAAATTGAGACCAAATGTGAAAAGCTTAGGGCCAGGAGGTCCAAGTTAACTATATACAAACTTCTGGACTAGAAGTCATGTTATTCAAAAATCTCTCCTGAATGGAATTAGATAAATGACTGGTATGACTTCCTTGATAACAGGAAAAGTATGATGTACAGGGGCAAGGTACTATTACAATTGGGAGCATTGTAACAAAAAATTGCTGCCAGGCATTGTGAAATGTCACAATAAATAATTGCTCATTATTGATATTTATTTAATTTTAGTTTCTATTAGTACATATTTTTTCTATCAAAAATGTTACATTAATAATTTTTTTATTCAGTGCTATATTGAGTACTATTTATTTAGAAAATTTTACAAATAATTATTAAATTATTATAGAGTTTATATTTAATATATGTAATAATTTTATTAAGGAAATAGTCATAACCTTAGGTATAGAAATTCAAATAAAATAAAATATTATCTGATTTGAGACTTTTTAAAATTAAAATCATAAACACTACTACATACTCTAATAATCTTATTAAGATTTTAATAGTTAATTTAAATATTTTTGTATATAGATATTTTATATTAGCATATAATTTTGAAAAACATAATAAGAATAAAAAAAGGAGTCTCTTGCAAATCTACAGTATATTTGAAAGAATTGCTGATCATTTATTGACACCAAAAAAATGGTATGGCCAGCATCGGTCTTAGCTGTCTAATTCCCTGAACTTATCCTTCAAAATTTATTTAAAAGAAGACTGAGTGGATTCCATAAAATTCCAAATAAATCCATTGGACAGAAGCAAATTCCAAAGGTATATTTGCTATCTATTGCAGTGCAAGAAGCTAATTGAATTATAAGAAGCAATTAGATGCTATACTACATGTCATCTTAGTGCCTAATTGTAAAAATGTATGATTTAAAAATTGTACATAGAATTTTTGAAGCTTGAAATTTAACACTATTAATTTTCAATAAAACTTTTGCATTGAGAATTAACTTATCATGAAAAAATTTGTCTTTGTAATAATACAGTCGACCCCCCTATAACACAGGTTCATATAGTTCGGATTCCTATATCACGGCGAAAAAATTGCGACCATATTCGTATAAACACGCTAAAAGAGACTTGTATAATTCAGTAAAACATCATCGCCGACTCGTTCGCGACAGGATTGGTCGAATCTAGACCAATAGCGGATATTGCACAAACCATTGAGTTTAAACGAGCAGCGGACCTACTAAAAACCATTTATTATTTAACGTCCATAAAAATTATATTTGTATTAATGATGTCTCCAAAGTTCAGCGAATTTTTCGCAAAAAAATAATTTTTCAGGAAGCATGCGAGCGTCATTCGATGACAAGCTCCACGACAAAAACAAGCTTAAGCAATGGCGTAATCAAACGGTGCACACCCAGTAAGTAATCCTACAATTTTTTGTTTATAGCATAGTTTATATGGATTATTCCCAAAAAATTATATGTATTTTGGAAATGTTGAGTCGAATTAGTCTAGAATCGATTACTTTTATGGAAGAAACCTTTCAAACAGCCGTAGTCCATAAACTGCATATGTGCCGGGTTGTGATTGGCTGGACTCGTAGAAAATGGATTTCATAAAATCCAGAACGTATCTACCATATTATAGGGACTGTATTTATTAAAAAGTTCAAAATACATGTAGCATATAGAAGCAAATATTCTTTATTAAAATAAACAAAAATAGGCATGATTTATAGCTTTATNAAGTTATTTTGTTTAATAGATTTATATAAATTAAAAACTATATGATTTTTAAACAAATTAGCTGCCACTACTGTAAATTTTGATGGTGATCAATATATGAAAATTATATTGGGTGAAGGATTTCTATCAGAAGCTGAAGATATAGGCCTAAGATTCCGTACAGCTCAACAGTCAGGATTATTATTTTCTACTCATTCTAACAAATCTTCCACATATTTGATTGCTTGTTTAGAATTGGGAAGAATTAAAGTCTTGATAAATTTGGGAGAAGGTGATAAGGTAATAAACGTTTCAATTACTTAAAAAGTAATTATATAATTAGTAAAATATATAATTCACCTTAACCTGGCGATCCTCATGGTCAGATTTGTAACACTGTTACTTGAGGGTGAGCACTGCGCTCACCCTACATATTTTCATATTCTTAATGATTTGTCTTCAGAAATTTTACTAAGATTAAGAAGTTTTGTTATGAATAATACACATTTTAATGTTTATTTTACTTTACTTCAGTTAGAATACATTAAAAGTAATTTCAATATAGAAACAGAAAACTGATTTCCAATCAGATCAATGAGATCAGTAAAAACAGAAATACGATATCTGAAATTATTGTTAAACTTCTTCTTCTTCTTCTTCTTCTTTTGTCCCTAGCTGGCATTTGGTTGCGGGTGTCTGCGCAACCAGTATGCTGCTGTGGGTGCCGCAGGAAGTCGAGCTTTGTTAAACTTAATTATAATTTCTATTCAAATTTGGAATCTGTTTAGTCTGGATTTTTAAAATTGCAGTATTTGCAGATTCTTATGTGGTATCTGCAGATAGGTGCAGTAGGCTACAGGTTACACTCTTGAATATTGTTTTCCTACTCTTCTTTTTTGGGCAATATGTACACTTTTCTCTTGATACTGATATTACCTGTGGAGGTAATAGTTTTTTTTCAACACCTGAAAGTGTTGAAGGATTTTCATATGGAGATTCTCATTCTCATTGTTTGCAAAAAAGGAGGATATATTTTCTTCCAAGAACTTTTTCCAGAACTTTCAAGAAACCCAAATTACAAGAGTTTTATAACAAAAAGTGAGCAAAACACTCACCCTCAAGTAACAGCGGTTATTGATATCTCAGATAAAAAATTCTACATTTAATATGCATTGTTTAAAACGATTAGGAAGTATGTGATATATTACAATGGAATTTATAATTTTATATTAGTATATATATTGTAATAATCAAAGAAAAAAGAAAACTTTATTAAATTATTAATATTTGGTATTGATCACAAGTAAAATAACTACTTGAAAAATAAACTATTTGACACTGTATAGAAGACTAAATAAAATAGTTTTAATTAAAATAAACGTTTCAGAATTTAACATATTCTGGCATCAGGTTTTGTGGTGAATGTAATGCTGGAATGTTAAATTCCAAAAACGTTTATCCTAATTAAAATTACATTAAATCCAATTTTCTATAAAGTGTCAAGGGGTTTATTTTCCAATTAATTTCAGTATTGATGGAGCTATTAAAGTTGGTACTTGATGAAAAAATAACTTTAGTGATCTTTATGGCATCTTGCAACAATCTTTAAAAATCTTGTAAAAAAATGTTTAGTTTTTTATTTATGAATAACATCACAGTTAATCTTAAAATACTACTGCTGATTCTGAAATAAGATAAATCAGAATGTCCCTTAATTGTTTTGAACAGTGTCGAAGAATAATATATCTAATATTAGAAGTTTTTGAAATGTATAATATATTTCATAATGATATGCACACATTTTTTTCAGTATAATATTTAATTTACACTGATAATTCATGGATGATATGATAATTATTATAAATTTTATATGATTTAGTATTATGTTACTTGAATTTATTTAAATGTGTTTAAGATTTTTTAATTTTATAATAATGGTACAGAAAGAAATTACATAAAAATAATAATATATTATAAATTAAATAGATTAATAAATAAATCTTTAAAAAGTTCAAATAGTAGTTTTTCATGTTTTCAGATTGCATTATTATTTCTATTTTGATATTCAATTAAATATAATTTATTAAATGTTAGGTATTGTTTTGAATATAAATGTTATTGGAATAATTTTGATTAACTATATTTTAGAATTCAAAAAATTTCTTTTGGAATATTTAACCTTAATTAATGGAGTTATTCCTTCTTTGAAAACTTAATTGTCGAAGAGTAAATCAGAATATTTCTTTTGAATGTTTTTATATGATAAAAGCTTTATAGCCAAGATGGATGGTGCTTTATGCTCCTTGGATCTAGAAATGTTCTTTAATAAATATGATTAGTTTAATTGTCAAAAATAACGAAAATCTGCTTTATTGAGCTTATTTAACTTGAATAATAGTTTTTGTAGTAGTTTCAGGCAATCAAGTCCATTGTCAAGAGATATAGCAGATTTATGTAGTTACCTGAATATACTATAGATAATTATTACTTTAGTTTAAGTGAGCTCCAATAAAATAGATTTATGTTATTTTTTTAAAGAATTTGGAATTATTGTATTTTCATTGTATTAGTCATCAAAATTTTGAAATAGTCAAAAGTTATTGCTGTAATTATTGCAATATACTTGTTGAGCTGCAATTTTCAAAAATTGTAGACCTATAAATTTCCACTGGCATCTTTCTTAATCTTGAGAATGGAGTTAGATAGATGAAAATTGAGACCAAATGTGAAAAGCTTAGGGCCAGGAGGTCCAAGTTAACTATATACAAACTTCTGGACTAGAAGTCATGTTATTCAAAAATCTCTCCTGAATGGAATTAGATAAATGACTGGTATGACTTCCTTGATAACAGGAAAAGTATGATGTACAGGGGCAAGGTACTATTACAATTGGGAGCATTGTAACAAAAAATTGCTGCCAGGCATTGTGAAATGTCACAATAAATAATTGCTCATTATTGATATTTATTTAATTTTAGTTTCTATTAGTACATATTTTTTCTATCAAAAATGTTACATTAATAATTTTTTTATTCAGTGCTATATTGAGTACTACACTACTGTAAATTTTGATGGTGATCAATATATGAAAATTATATTNTTCTGCAAATAAATAATAATAATTATTATTATATTAATAAAATATAAAATTATTATGAATTAACTATTGAGTTAGATCTTGATAATGGTTAATTCTTTAAAATTTCTCTACAGTACATTTTTTGATTCTGTAAAACAGAACTTACAATTTATCTACTTTGTTAAGGTAGCTTGGTTAAAATTTTATATTTATTGGATTTCCTATTATTAATATTATTTTCGGTTAATTAATGTTACCTATGGTTCCAAAATGGCAGTGCTTTGGTTAGGTTCATTTTGTTTCCGTTAGATTAGCTACATTTTTATTAGATTTTATTTTCCTTTTTTTTTTTTATTTATTTTGTTCAAGAACTACCGTGAATCAATAACTAGTGACGTTTGACACTCGGCAGTTTGCCACCGGCTCCCCTCCGGGAGGAGTCCCTCTGGACCACAACAGTCAGAAGCGCAGCCATTTTGGAACCAAAGGTAACATTAACCGTATTTTCATAATTTATCAAATATTTAACAATTTATTACAAATATTTTACATTCTATATTGAATATATATTTGATCTCTTTTCTTATTTGATGTCTATAAAATCAATTCAAATATGAAAAAATATACCTCATATATAACTTTTCATATTTCATGTAAAGCCACAATCAGTGCATGCGAAGATATAAGAAATTGTTTACAGAAATAGTTCTATAAAATTTTTATCTAATTTTCAAAAAATGCCAGACAAAGATTGTTCAATTATTGATAAAATATATATACATATATATTTTATTAATAATTGAACAATCTTTTTCAATTCAACTTACAGCATTTCAGGGTAAAAAATGGCAATAGAATAAATTTGAGTAATTATACTATAATATATATATTATTGCAGAAATTGATTACAATCCTTCATTTTTAGCGAGGTTGAGGTTGAAGTTTTAAACACGAAAACGTGTAGGTTGGACATTCAGCGGTGCTGTGCATCCGACATATATGTTCTTGCATTTAAAACTTTGGCCTCAACCTCATTATTATTTTAGTACATTAGTACCTTTAATATGTAGATATTTCTTTCTTTTATATTTAAATAAATTAGTGATAGGACATTACTAAAATTTCTAATGATTCTGATATCAATGCTGATTCCACTAAAAAGTCTTAATTTTCTGATTCTTTTCAAAATTATAGTTGGATGTAGTCTCAGAGCTGGCAATATAGTCACACTAGCTGCATAGTTACTTGCAAGATTTCCTGGTTGTTTTAATTTAGACATGTCAAATGGCTTGCATAAATGTGCTAAATAATGCAAATTTATTCTATTGCCATTTTTTACCCTGAAATGCTATAAGTTGAATTATTACATTAAAAATGACACTTAGCAAAATACTGAACAGATTTATTGTAAAAAGCTTTATTTAAAACTCAACAGCAATTACTGGTATATCTTCAGTTTTTCTGTTTGGTATAATCAACCAGTATAATAAGAAATTTTAATGTAGATGCAAATCAAAATATAGAAACATTAAATAAGCTAAGCATAGTAAAAGAATTTAAATAGTAAAATTTTGACAGCGGTTTGGGCAGAACTATAGTCTATTTTAATTATTATTATTGTTGACAGTACATTAATAGAAAGTTTAATTTTTGTCAAATATTTATTTCAAATAGGATTTGGTATTCCAAAACTTTTTCCATGTGCCAGAAAACCTTTAAAAATGCAAAACCTGTCAGCACTGGTTACTTGTTAGTTCAGATAGTCTATATTACTGTTATTTCTTACCACAGTTTTAGGTTTCATGTCACATGTTGCATAGAATACATACATTTCATTTTGCATAATGTCACAACTGACAATATGAAATAACATTATTTTTTACTTTCAGCTATCAAAATAAAACTTTAAAGTGTAATGATACTTGATTATTAATAATCATAATTTAAATCATTTTAATTATTACTTAAAACAAAAAAATTCATTTGTTATTAAATGTAAAAGAATCAAACACAAACACTGAACCAATTTACGATGTGGAACGATCGACTAATCATAAAAACAAACGTTTTCAAACCCCTTAGTCGATTGTTCCACGCCATAAATTGGTTCAGTGTTTGTGTTTGATATATAGGTGTGGTGAGTAGTGAGTTTTTGTGTAAAAGAATCGTTTTAAGGATCAGAAATAATGATAAATTTCTCTTGATATCAATTCTGATTACT